TCATGAGCACCATTCACCCCCAAGAGTTAGTCTGTATTTGCCCCCCTCACCTTTCACTCCTCCTGGACTTCATAATTGCCTTATTGTTTGTTTTGCTTGATTCTCCTCATATCATAACCCCCTGTACCTCTCAAATACCTTCATGTACCATGTCAGTAGCAAAGGCATCTGTAAGCTGTGATCTTTAAAAAAAAACTTACATTTTTATTAATTCTTTGAGGATTTCATACAATATGTTTTGATCATACTCAACCCCAATCCTCCCCTAACTCTTTCCATATCCACCCCACCTCCCCACTCCCTCCCAACATCATGTCCTCATTTTTTGTTTGGGGGTTTTGTTTCGTTTTAATAACCCATATACTGTTGGGTGTGAGGTCATCCTCGGATGAATTATACTCAAGTCACACCATTCCAGTATGGACTGGTGACTTCCACGTCTTATGCACTGTCAACCTAAGGTCTCCTTCTCTATGACACCAGGATTCACTATGGCTGTCATCAGCGTCATAGGCCCTATGTCAAACCCCTGGTTAGAGGCTTAACTCCTGGTTGTTTGCTCCTCCTCCCCTTGGACAATATCCTCTGGTGGCTTTTAGTAAAAGAGGACATGAGAGGTAAGTTTTCTGAGAATTGATTATTTGTAAGTGTTTTCTATTCTACCTTTGCATTTGAAGTGTGGCTAGAGCGAGAACTCCAGGTTGGAAATTTTCACGTTCATTCTAGCACCTCCTTTTGCAGATGCTATATTATTCATGAACTGCAATGAATAAAAAGAGAAGTAAATTTGGGATCACTAAATTCTGATCAATAAAGCTGAAAAAAGAATTATTGTTCATGCCCATTGTGTAGGTCAGGAGCCATGGTTCTCAGTATTGAACTACTCACCCATACCTTGAGAACTTACGCTGTCTCTACTGGATTCAAATAAGACTCGGAGGCTGAAGAAAGAAGGGCACAAAACCCTGCCTTCTGTGCCATTAACCCTTGCCAAAGTCATTAGAGGAATTCATGAAAACCAGCAGCAACACTCCCCAACAGCAGATCTTTCTCCAGGAAGGTTTCACCGCTGCTCCATGGGCTGTTATTTCTTATTTATTTATTCATTCATCTATCATTAATTCACTTAAATTTGACAGGAAGAGGCTCCTTCCTGCTCAGAACATGAATAACCATGGAGGCTTTCATAAAACCATGTTGGAGATCATAGATTCATATTTATGAAAGGCCCCAGGACTTTATTCTCCTGATTAACTAGTTGATGCCCTCGGCACAAATGAGGGAAAACACTGGTTGGAACCTAAAGCAGAGGGACCGTTTTAGCTCCCAAAGCATTATACATGGAGAATCAGAACTCATTTCCATTTACTCTAAAAGCTTCCCATGTAAAGGCTTTTGAAGCTGCCCTGGGAGCTAGTACTGACCTCAATTCCTGATTTATTCACCCATCCTCCCCCACCCCCTTATTTACCATGGCGCACTTTCCTTTGGGCCACAGAACTCTAATACAGCATATCAACCTGCTAAAACTTTGCAGCTATGTGAGGGAAGTGAATCGATTTGTCACTGTGTGAATTACATACAGGCCGGTATGTTGGTAAACTTCAATCTGAAAGAATCAGTGTCTGCCAGGGAGCGAGCATGATGTCCTCTTCTCCAGTGGTGCTCCAGTAAACAATCCCCCACCTACACTCATGCACACAACCCTAATTAAACTCAGTGGGTCAAAAACAAATAAATATAAGACATGACGGCAGGAGGGGACTCGTTGAGAGGAATGTGTTTAACAAGAATGGAATGGGAAGATACGAGGATGACATGGGGTGAATGTGACCACAGTACAATACATACATATATACATACATGAAAATTTCAAAACATTTAAGAGACAGCTACAAATATGAAAGTATTAATCCTTGTCCTTCATGAAAACCTAGCCAGAAGTAAAATCTTTCCCCCTCAGAACATATCAGATCCTCAATGCATATCAAACAAACCACTGAACCCCAAATACAAACGTGCTGAGCATCACACACAGAGCCCGGGTTATTAGGGGGCTTGTTTCTCCAGTGCAGCAGGTGACAGCCTTACGTCTCCTTTTCTGTAGCTAGGCCTCTCTGGGTTTGTGGGCGACTCCTGACACTCTGTATGTTCTGTTATTCTGTTATAGTTCTGTGCCACAGGCATAATGGGCTTCTGAATTGTCTAGGGCTTATGGATTTAAATATCCTTTGTGTATGAACTGCCAGGAGTATCAGCATTGTGATTATTATTGTTGGAATAACTTGGAAAAGCACCAGTTAATGTAGTTCTCTGAATAAAATTCTCAATACATTCTCTGACCTGTTTTTAAAAACATATTGCCCAGGTTCCAGTATTGATATAGCTCTCTCTACTCTGGGCCAGGCTGTGTTGAGTCATACCATTTAACCCTCATGTGTATTGACAAACTGTCTGTTGTATACCTTGGATTTTCCCGAAAACACAGCTTGAAGCAAAGCTCTGTGCAGGTAAAATGTGGGAGTGATCCTTCAGTGCATAAAAGAGGCTGGAAAAATCAAGATAAAAAGGAGTAAGAGCCAACCCAGATATGCATTAATTAGGTGCCAGTGTGGTAATTCTATTCTATTTTGCCTTCTAAGAACCGAACATTTGTTCAGGGCAGGGAGCAAAAGTATTTTTCACTGGTTTCCATGTCCCTAGAGTAAATATTACTCTCAGAAGGAACAACTTCTCCCGAGGCAGAAAACAGAGAAAGTGGGCCTTAGCTGCATGCAGGGAAGAGAGTGGATGAGGCCAACAAAGCTGACAGTAGACACAGTTAAAATCTGAGCAGAGGTGAAGTATTTGAGTCAGAACAATAAGCTTACGTCACTGTTATCATCCCACACTACAGAAAGGAAACCAAGGCACATGGCAGCTTCCTCACCTGTCCAAGTTGAGGGCTCCAGAGACTGGAAAGTTAAGGAGGCTTCCTCCACAACTGCTATGGAGCTCTACTGGGCGATCTGCACAGCCCACTCATCAGCTCAGCTCAGACACCATCTCCGTGACACTCACTCCTGGGGAATGAATTTTCATTCATTCAACAACAACACAGGACAGTGCTTCCACAGTGCTGTGACTGTATTCTTGGGAGACAAACAGGTCTCTCTCATTTGAGGCCACGTTTAAAGAGACACCCAGGGAGGGAAAACAGCTCAAGCAATCATTAGAGCTCAAAAAAAGGCTTTTTAAATTTTATTACAATGTTATTCTTCACAGAGTATAGAAATACACGTGGCGACACAGAGTATAGAAATACACGTGGCGACAACTTATTAGACATCAGCCTTCCCTCTCAAACACACATGAGAAAATGCTAACCAACCTCTGCTGCTGCGAATGTATTAATCGTACATACATATTGCCAGGATGACACCAACATGAGTACATTAGACAGGTTCTTCTCGGGCACACAGAATTTTCTGACAGATTATTTTTCCCTTTAGTAAAAGCTGAAACAATTGAGAAGGCTTGGGGAATGTGAGCTTGTAGGGCCACAGTATTAACACAGTATCGGGGTCAGGAGCTACAAATGGCATGCACACAGGGCTCAGGGGGCAGCAGAGGTTCGAGAGGGGCGCCGGCCAGTCCCCTGTGTCTGCTGTGAGCAAACAACTCTGTGAGGTGACAGAGAGGAAGGTGTTCCCTCCTCTCCCAGGAGAAGGTGTTTGGGTTTACACTCAGGAATCACAGGACACACAACAGAAGAAAAGGAAATTCCCTCCACACGGACCGAGCTTCCTCCTAGGGGACAAGGGCCAGCATGGCTAAAACAGGAGCTGCTAGGACCGCTGCATTTGAGATGCAGAAGTCTGCCTGAGGAACACCCATCCACTCAAGGCACCTGACTGACTCCACCAAGGACCATGAGCAAGGGCAGAACACCCTAAAAGAGAAGAGCAGTGCGCCCCCTTGATGTAAGAGGGAAGGGTTGGGTTTGAACTGGGCCTGGGAGAGGAATCCCACAGCACAAGAGAACCGGGTCACCAAGCTGCTGAGACGAGCCCTCTCTCCCACCCACCACGCACAGCTCATTCTGAAACCTCCGGGGAAACAGGGGATGAAGTGATCGATCACTGCTTTAGCAGTTTGCAATTACTATTTCTCCCTGCTCTGCTTGTCTCCTGTGGAAACCAGAATCACTCACCACACTGTAAGTGGGACTGGAGGGTTGGCCCGTTCTCTATCTCAGACTGACAAGACTTGGGGCAGCACCACTTGGCCTCATCAAGTGTTTTTACCTTAATGTCACCAAAGAACCCAACACGTGTCGCCTGCATTTCTTCAGTACCTTGTAATTCCAAACATCTGCCTGTGTTGCTTCCCTGCTGTAAGTCGCTCAGTGTGCCGCACTATACTGACTCCAGTCTTGCGTCCTAGGCCACGTGGAGGAAAAGAAGACTATGCATAGTGGGCGTTCCTCACACTGCTCTCCACCACAAAGCTACCCTCCCTGTCTTTGATCAAATACAGTTTAAAGCAAAAACCCACGGCGAAGGGCCGGCAGTGTTTTCCAGACAGCACAGCTGGTGACTGGCAGACTCACGTACATTTGTCAGAGGCCTTGGTGATACCAACAGGGTGTAAAGATAATCAAGGACAAAGAGCCTGCCTCAGACACTGCCATGTCTGTCGTAAGGTGGGTCCAGTCATCTCTGCTTTAGGACCCAGAAAACCAGGTGAAAGATGTTAGAAAACCACTGGATACTTCACTGGGCACGGTGGCACAGGCTTTTAATCCCAGCACTCTGGAGGCAGAGGTAAGCGGAGCTCTGTGAGTTTGAGGCCAGCCTGGTCTACAAATAGAGTTCCAGGACAGGCTCCAAAGCTACACAGAGAAAACTCTATCTCAAAAAACAAAAACAAAACAAAGTTAAAAACACTGTGCCAACTTCACCTTTGTGGCCATTGTAGCCTACAATGATCTTGGTTGGGCCTGCTCCCTTTGAATGCACAGGGAAAGGAGGAGTTCCCCAGAAAATATGCATGAAGGACCTTCAGACCTGTTCCATACTGCCCAGCTTAAGGTGGGGTCGATTAAGGACACAGATCACTAACATAGATGGATATATACTCCCTCAATAAAGAGGACATTGGATTTTATGTAAACTTCCCCTTTGCCCCATATAGGAGGTGTCACCCACGGGTGGCTTGCAGCCGGAGTGAAGGGAGGGCAGGAATACACAGCTCCCTGTTGCTTCCAGGCACTTAGAATCCTTGCTAGGAGTCTACCTTTGGAAAAATGCTCACTTTATTGTTCCTGCTCATCTTCCGTTCCACCCTGCCTACTTTGGGCACCTTTGTCTGGATCAGCTCTTCTGGGGTATTGCCCAGTGGGGGAAGCAGCCTCTTCTTGCTATTTCGGGTCTCAGACAGCCACTGAGGGGGTAACTCGAAAGGCCCAAAGCCAAACTGCAAAGAATATTTATCAGGGAATAGCCCGTGTTCCACAGGGGCTACTGGGGCCTCCTGAGATACTGAGTCCACTGTGCCCGGAGGTGGAACAGAGGGGGCCAGCTGTGGCTCTTGCTCTCCCTCTGGGCAGGAGGTAAGTTCCTCCTTGGCCTGGAAATCAGCTGAGCCGAGATACTTGGCCTCACTCTCTTCCTCATCCTCTGAGGGCTTAAAGATCTGCTGCTGCCCAATGTGGAACATCTCTAAGAGTTGGCTACCAGAGCGCATGCTGGGCTCCAGGCTGGCCTCGGCCACCTCACTCCCAGTACTAACCACATTGCGGCGGCTGTACCGGTGGTGCAGCTGCACCAGGGTCCCAACCAAGCACTTGCGTACTGATTTGTTCACAGTTAGGAAGAGCACAGGGTTGGCCAACAGAGAGACTTTGGGCAGCCAAATGGCAGTGAGAAGCAAGAAGACAGAAGTGTTAGGTACATTGAGCACAGTCTGGTAGACAACCAGGGTGACGTAGGGTACACTGCAGAGGATGAAAACTGTCACCATGGAGAGCAGGGTGGCATGTAGCTCAGCCTCGCGCTGGGAGGCATAGGGGATGGAGATGGTGTTCTGTGGGGTCCTCAGTGCGGCAATGATGACTTTCTTCTTCTGACTGGCACTCAGAGCCCTCCGGATAAGGATTAGGAAAAGAAATACCACAGCCACAGGCACAATGACCGTGGTGACATTGTAGATCAGAACATACACCAGGTGGCCTAGGGAGTTGCTCCAGACTTCTGTGCAGGTGGACATAGCATAGATGTCGGCTACATTGGTCACAGCAAACACAGGGACACTGGCCACCACTGCATGAGCCCAGATGTACATCACCAGTTCCCGAGACTTGGCATCAGATATTTTTCTCTCCAGAGGATAGAGGACTGAATAGTACCTGCATGACATAAAAGCAGAATTCATTTCACAGGAAAAAAATACTCTTGAGATTAGGGTAACCTGAACTACCAAAAGTAGGCAGAAGGGAACAATAACAGACAGGAGGAATCATTGGAGGATTTCAGGAAGCCAGACCTTAAGTTGTGAGGACTCTGAAGTACATGGAGAGATCAATAAACCAAAAAGAAGTAAAACCAAAACTTTCTGAAGATACAGAGAAAAGCCCGGTCTTCATGCAATTCTTAAGACTCTACTGGGAAAATAAGCAAATATGTTCAATTCATAACTAGCCTAAGAATTACTGCCAGCAGGACTAAGCTCTGTAGTGCCTTCAACATAAAGGATACAGATCCCTAAAGTCTCCTGTGTGTAACTGATAGCTGGTAGCTGGTAGCATCCTGTGGGGCTGGTTTTCAATGTAATGATAAGGGGTAACATAAATTTTCTACATTGAAAAGAAGCCTCTGAAAAAATTTTAAAGCCACTGTCACAACAAATTTATCTACATACATCTGGAAAGCAATCCTACACCCTACTTCAGACACTGCAGATGATTAGCCTCTAAGGCTGCTCATGGCAGAAGACACCCAAGTGAACAATAGATCTCAACCAAGTCCAGCCAATCACATTGTGTCTGCCCAGTAGCCAATTACCATAATAACTCTAAAAGCAACCAGCAGATCTCAAATGCCTGTAAAATTAATTTGTTGTTAAAATTCAGATGCAGATTTCCCCCCTTCCAAGCTATAATTTGACCATTCTGTAACTACCAAAGAATTCCAAATGTACTTTGTTTTCATACCATCAGCAATCTGGGAGAACTAAATAGTTTCTCAGACCCCACAACCATACTCATCACCAAGGGGTTGCCATCAGCCATCAGAGTTATGGCGAGACTCTTCATATTACTTGGCCAGGAGAAACTCTGCTCTCAGCCAACACCAGGGTTGATCTCCTTACCCTGATGGCAGTCTCTTACTCATGCGGACAGGTGAGAATGAATGACAACCAATGCTGTGAACACCCTGTGCCAGACTGCGTTACTAATATGAACAGATATGCAGGAACACCACCACACTCTATGAGAATGCATGAACAATTAATTACACTCTAGAAGGTGATGGCTCTACCAGAGGAGGTACTTGGCACAGAGCACCTGAAACTACCTAGGAAACTATCAGAGAATGGCACTGTTGTGGAGTCTGATGGTGGACAATGAGGGAATGTTCTGAGGCTGAGAGAAACATAATACAAGTACTGCATGGGCCCTGGATGATCACAGAAGGGTGGGGCACTGTGAAGAGGGTTCTACTTATTCTTACCCCAGGGAAGAAAAGATTACGTATAAACAATGCATGCTCTCAAAATGCTTTGGCTCTGAATACAAATAAATGTTTCTAATCACAACTCTATAGATGGTACCACTCTCATACATAAAAACAGTAGGATGCCTCTGGATGCTACTTGCTCACTGCCATGAAACACAATCAGGCATCTACCTATCAGCTTTCCACCCCATTACACACTGGGAAATAAACTGTAAGATATGCACACACTAATGTTCTTAGGCTGCAGGTAGTGTAGGTGGCCTCCTAATTAACTTGCCAACTTAGTGTCGGAAGACAAATAGATGCAAGGAAGTGAGAAGATTCACTTCCCTTCTTCAAGTGCACCTCACTGATGCCTGCAAGTAATGTGTATATCTGAATCATAAAATAGGAATTTATCCACCTGGTTTTTCTACTAAAGCATTTGTTTACTTTTTTGCATGAGTGATGGTTTGAAAAATGCAAGGGTTTATCAGCTGGAAGGAAAGCCAGGACTTTTTATTGTTCGCATATTTCTTGTCTAAGATCAAGGGCCTAGACATAACAAATAAGAGTCATTGTGTTGGTTTGTGGTACAACAATAAGATGTTCTAAATAATATGTTCTGCTCTCACTGAATGTGAGAAAATTTAAAAAATTTTCCACATTGGTCTGGGAAGATGGCCCAGTGGTTATAAGCTTTTACTGCTCTTCCAGAGGACCTGAGTTCAGTTCCCAGCACCCACACAACAGCCCACAACTGACTGTAATCCCTCTTCCAGGGGATCTAATGTTCTCTCCTGATCTCTGCAGGCATCACACACACACACACACACACACACATACACACACATACACACACGCACACGCAGACAAAATGCACATACACATAAGATAAAAATTTTAAATCTTAAAAACAAAACACAAAACTCTCAGCATTCATAGCAGCTAAATTAAAATAACAACCCCAAATAACCACCAATCAGTAAATGAATAACCAAACTATGGTAGACCCCACAATGGGATGCTGACATGTGCTCTGACATGCTAAGTCAAAGAAGCTAAAAACAAAAGAACACATGCTGTGTGATCCCACTTACACAAGCTGCCTCACAAAGGCAAACTCAGAGCCAGGAGGCAGAGGGGTTGCCTGAGGTATAGAGATGGGAACAGAATCAAGTGCCCGGAGAGTGAGATCAACAACTAACTTCTCCATGGAGCCCTCAACTAATGCCTGTTGAAAACAGGATCAAACACCCATACATAAACACTGAGTCGAACTAGAACCCAGATGTAGATGGAGAGGAATAGACCATGCGGCAGAAACACATAGAGACAGCTTACCTGAACAAGGAGGAGCTAAGGGCCACTAGACTGATAGCTGGGAAGCCAGCATGGGACTGACTCAGGCCCCCCTGAATATGGGTCTCAGCCAGAAGGTCTGAGCAGTCTAAGAGACCTCAGACAGTGGAGCCAGGATGTATCCCTAGTGCACAAAAGGACTTTGCGAACATATCCCCCATGGAGGGATAACTGCCTTAATCTAGAGACAGGAGAGAAGCCCTAGGACCTGTCAGATCTACATGACCCCAACTGGATGGCATTCCCCTACATATGGAATTGGGGTGGGGGGATGGGAGGGGAGGGTGTTCAGAGTGCATGTGAGAGGGCAGAGACGGTAAAAAGGGAGGGAAGGAGGGAGGGAGGGCTGAGAGAGAGGGAGAGAGGGAAGGAGGGAGGAAGGGAAGGAGGGAGAGGGAACTGGGATCGACATGTAAAATAATATATTATTATGCTTTGACTCCAAAATTTATGTTGAAGGACAAGTTACTGGGGAAAAGGATTTCTATTTTTTGTTTCCACAGAAAATGAAAAGATGTGGATTCCTTCCAGACTAATGTGGTTTGATCACACCAGACCGCCTGAAACAGAGTACAAGCTGATCCTGCATTCAAAACAGCTGGACAAAACAGCCCTACAGACAACAGCCAGGATATCTGAATCTTCTTCGAATCCCCCAAGACAGTGCCCCTTACCAGCAGGAAGTAGTTTGGAAAGAACGACGCCCAAATTCCCAAATATTGTGTATAAATGTTTGTTTTCGTTTAATTGGACTGTTATATAAAATTAAATAAAATAAAAAAAAAAAAAAGAATCAAGTGCCCACCAGCAGGAGGCTTGGAGGGAGCACTAGGGAAATCCTGACGCTAGACCTAGCACAGGCACAATCCAAAAAGAGCATACTAAAACTCATTGGCTCGAATCCTTTCTATAACATGCAAACTATATCTCAAAGCTATTAAAACTTTCCAAAGAGTCCATAATTTAAACGTGAAGACCTACGACCTTCATCCCAGCTAATAGAAAAGCTGAAGCAGCAGGATGGCTTGAGCTCAGGAATTTGAAGCTATGCTAGACAACACAGAGAGACACCATCTTAAAAAAAAAAAAAAAAGACTACACCAGAGCAAAGTGGGATTGCAGAAAGACACCTGTGCAACACACATGACCCAACAGAAAATGAAAGCGATAGCGCTCCCATCAGAAAGTAAACTGAGACAAGCACTCTGAGTCCAAGTCATGAATGATGGACGTAACTAAGGCATTTGATTCATTCCTTAAAGATGATGGAAGAGAACAAAACCAATGGGGCAGCATGCAGCCCCAAAACTAACTCCTCCAGAGAATCATCAGAGCCATATAGTCATTCGTTAAGTAACTCCCTTTATCTCCCAGAAATGCTTACAAGCTACTTCAGATTGCAGTGCAAATACCAATTCCAACTGGGCTAGAACAGCACCATGATCCAGTAGCATCCTGGTGATAAAAATCTGACCCCAGGATCTTTTCTCAAGATGTTCCATGGATGTTCATCCATTTGTAAGACTCTGTTTTAGACATGCATTCTCTTTCTTTTGGCCACGAGTTAAAAACTAAAAACTAAAAAAAAAAAAAAAAAAAAAAAAAAAACAAAAAACATTGTATGAAAAAGCAATAACTCATCATTCACTCCATGATGCTCAATTTTCAATGCATAAAAGAAAGAACCCGCAGGGGTGGGGTGGACAGATGGCTAAGTGTTTAAGAGCACTTGCTGCTCATATAAGGGACCCAAGTTTGGTTCCCATCACCCACACTGAGCACCTCACAAATGCCTGTAACTCCAGCTTCAGGGGATGAAAGTCTAATGCACTCTTCCCACGTCCACAGGCAACTGCAGGCTCTCTCTCTCTCTCTCTCTCTCTCTCTCTTTCTCTCTCTCTCTCTCTCTCTCTCTCTCACACACACACACACACAAATACATGTTTAAAAATTAATTACCTGTCCAGGGCAATGGCAGGGAAACTGAGGATAGTCACAGAGCAGAAGACTTTGTGTAAGAATTTGACAACCTTGCAGAAGAACATAGTGTAGATCCACCAGCAGCAGTGAGGGCTGGTGCTGAGGATGATATCAAAGGGCACGCACACCAGGCTGGCACAAATCCCGGAGCAGGCCAGGTTTTTAATGAACCTGTTGGTGACAGATTTGAACACGGTTGTGCGGCAAGTTGACCATAACACCATGAAGTTTCCTGGCCAAATATGTAAAAAAAAACAAACAAACAAACAAACAAATAAAAGTGAATTAAGGATTTAAATCAAGAGTAAAAACAACAAAAAAGAAGAAAGGAAACACAGGTTAAACATTTTAATGTGTTAAGAGTCTATTTGAAGGATATTATACCATCAGTTTACATAAAATATCTAGAGCACACCATAGCAAATATTCTACATGAAATTTTAGTACTACTTTTTTTTTTTTTTTTTAGTTCCAGGCAAAAGACATTCTGTGATGATGGCTCAGTCTTACTGGCAGTATAAATAATCAGCTAGGTATTCCTCTCAGGCAGTCTATTTTTTTTTCCCCTTTGGAGGCAAGGTCTCATATATTCCATGGTGGCCTTGAGCTAGCTATGTAGCCAAGGATGACCTTGAACTTCTGACCCTTCTGTGTGTTTTCACCATGCCCAGTTTATGAAGGGCTGGTGATGAAACCCAGGGCTTTGTGCATCTACCACCCGATGTCCCCTGACCATCAGCCAGTCTACTCTTCTAGCATTTGCTAATGACTTCCATGTTGTAGAGTATCCGACAGAAACAGTGCAAGCCGCACATGGAATTTACAACTCTCTAGTGTTTCACAGAGTAAAAGGAAGCAAGTGAATTTATTGGTACCTTTTATTTAACCCAACCAATCCCAAACATTGTGATTACAACATAACATTACTGATAAATTACTGATGAAATATTTTTCCATTCTTGCTTTTGTGCTGTCTTCAAAATCCATCATGCATTTTATTTTACATTTCCAGAGCATCTGTTTGAAGTGGTCACATTTCAAGTATGTAGAGGCCACAAATTTTGCTTTCTGTTGCTGTGATAAACACCATGATCAAAAACAACCTGGGAGCCAGACAGTGGTGGCCCACACCTTTAATCCCAGCACTCAGGAGGCAGAGGCAGGGGAGTTTCTGAGGCCAGCATGATCTACAGAGCGAGTTCCAGGACAGCTAGAGCTGTTACACAGAGAAACCCTGCCTTAAACCACCACACCCCAACCCTGAAAAAACCCAACAACTTGGGAAGGAAATAGCTTATTTGGCTCACATTTCCATGTCACAGTATAGCATCGGGGAAACCAGGGCAAGCGCTAAAGCAGGAATCCGAGTGACATCAAGGACGGAAGTAGAAACCATGGAAGAATGCCGCTTACTGGCTTGCTCTCCAGGCTCAAGTTGAGCTGCCTCTCATGTTCCCAGTCCCAGCTGCCCAGAGGTGGCACCATCCACTGTGATCTGGGCACTGTCTCATAAATCATTAATTAATTAATTAATTGATCAGACTTGCAGCAGGCCAATATGATGGAGGCATTTTCTCAATTAAAGTTCTCTTTTCCAAGATGACCTGTTTGTATCAAGTTGACAAAAATAAAAAACAAACAAACAAACAAAACAACTAGTGACCCATACACTGAACAGTGGAAATTCTAGAATGACCCTATCAACCATCTCTTCCTGACAGTTCACATAACGTACAAATATCCCACAACACCATCCCACTTCCATTAACCTTTGGTTTTTCCAGGGACTCTGGTGTCTCTACAGCCTCTTCCTGATTAAGACTACCTGTTCCTGTGGCTTTCCATTACAATGCTGATGAATCCCAGATTCATGTTCCAAAGAAGACTTTTCCTCTCAACTCCAGACTTCTAATTCCAATTAAGCCTGATAATGTATCCCTTTCCCAATGTGTCAACCTCCAGGGCCTGTGTATATAATCTTCTGTCTGCCTGTCTAACCTCATACCTTCCCTCCTCTGGTTTGCAGGATGACAGCTCTCTGGCTGCTCTTGAACTACATCAAGGTTAACCCTAACCCTGGGTGCCTTTGCATAGCATTTCTAGATTGCCTGGCATGTTTGGTTCCCTTTAATCTAGGTTTTAGTTTAAATACTGTCTCATCCAAAAGGCCTTTTCTGACTACCTCTCTACTTTAAATACTTGTGTTTTTTCCTCCATTGTACTTTTATAATACCCTACTGCTCCTTTATAGTAAGTCCCTGATTATAGGCATATGTTTCTCTCCTTTTTCATTGAGGGAAAAAACAAAAAATCATGTCACTCTTGTTCAGTCACAAGTCTACATACAACTCAAACTAGGAAGAGTAGATATCTTATAAATAATTGTTAAATAAATGAATTTATTAAAAAATACATGGGCAGACAGCAATCAAAAGTCCTTGTGGTGAAACCATCCTTTCGGGGGTTATGTATGTCATTATCATCAGAGTTTCCAAACTGAACTCTGAGTTAGAATGACATATTGAATCAAAGCCTATTTCTGACTGAGGACCTGAAATTGCAAAGATGCCCCAATGCAGTGAGCTCCAAGCTCAACTCTCAGACTCCTAGACTTGGAGCCTGCAGCCCGGGTGGCCCCATCTTCAGGTGCTCCACACAGCATATCCTTCGCTTCCATTCTGTAACTTGGCCATCGCCTAAGGACACTGCTTGCTCTTGTCCACCTGCCCACAGGATGCCTGTGAACGGGGCTTTTTGACAGCAGAGCCATGCACTGTAGGAAGGACATGGTGCTAAGCAGGGCACAGCAGATCCAGAGCTCCAGGAAGGGTCATCCCAAGGAGCTGCTTTAGTCCTTGAATGTGGACAGAACTTACTGCCAAGTTCTCAATGTTCTATGATGCCTATTTTCTTGTAGACAATGTAGAAAACCAATTGATATATCTAGGTACAAAGGCCAGCTGCTTCCAGGAACTCTCTGCAGAACTCTGTGTTAGTATGGTGACTCAATAAGAAAGCATCAACAGTGTTTATAAGCACACACACTCCCATTTATTCAGGATACAAACTGCTTATACTGATGCCACCTGTCATCAAGGTGATATGCTGTAAAGCCACCTGATTTGGAAGTTCTTTCTAGGCCTTTCTTCACTAACACACAACCAAAGCATCCTTCCTTACAGTTTTCCAGGCGGGAATCAAGTGTGGCCATGGTCTATGAATGGAATAGCCACTAGAAGATCCATGGTCCATGGAGAGATGCACACATCACCAGATCTTTGATTTTCACCACTGAGGTCGTCTTTAACCCCCCAAGGGACTTCCCATAAATAAACCTTTCTCATGTTGTGAATCAAAACCCCGAGGATTTGCTTGTTATTGTTGTTTCATTTAAAAACAGGTGTGTGTGTGTGTGTGTGTGTGTGTGTGTGTGTGTTGGATGAGAGTGCCTGTATATTTTTAAAAACATATTTTGGATTTTCAGCCCATGTCTAAGTCCCCTTGGGTAGCACCATGGGGCTATTGGGCACCTCAGCACTTGGGGGCCACTCTGAAGTTGTCTGAGCAAATCTATAGTTAAATCCCAGAGGATCGCTGGCACCACATTCACCAGTGCCTTCACCCATGCTCCCAGGCTAGACCACTCTTTCCATTAAGTCCACAGCAGTGACCTGTGTGGGTCCCACGGTGGGCTCAGGGGAGCCTATGGAGGACTATGGCTCACTGTCCAGCACCAGCTTCCCTGGGTAATAAAACCCTGGCAATGAGCAGCAAGTGCTCTTAACTGCTGAGCCATCTCTCCAGCCTCAAGCCCACAATTCTTAGACCTATATAACCATGGGGATCAGCTGGACACTTTCAAAAGGCAGAGTTCTGCACATCTGACCCTACCCCATCAGAACCTTGGAGAGCCTGGGAATCCTTTATTTCATGTGCCCAGCAGGAAATTCAGAATGAGTAACCACAGCCGTCCCCTCCTAAGCTTCACCTAGCCTAGCACCACAGGATTCTTTAAATAGAAAGAGAAACACCATCCCATCCCACAACATTAAGGGCAAACACGGAAATCTCGGGAGAATCTAAGAACAACTGTCCACGAATCCTGGAAGGAAACCCTTCTCCATCAAGAATCAGGGTGGAGCTTGGCTTCTCTGCCCTGTAAACTGAGCTCCAGCTCTTCCTTTTGGAGTAGCAACACCAGAAGTGAAATCTTTGACCAAGTTTAAAATTTTTTTTAAACAACCTTTTCTGATACTCTGTATCTCTTCCAGATGACCCACTGGCCAAGCAAAAAAATAAGGAAAGATTTTTAATTAGCTTTAATAGAGTTACTTCCTGTTACCCCCATTCCACGGAGTGCCCTTAAGTACATTGGGACTATCCACTTTGCTTTGGAAAGAAGAGGGGAAGTTGAAGGGAGGTATCAGTTATTCACCTAAAGCTGTACAGGGAAGGAGAATGCAGGGCAGATAAAAGGGAGGGCAATCTTAGGGGCTTGATGCCCAGAGTGCTGTTCCTGTTGCTGCCACCTGGGAGCCAGCAAGACCGCTCTAGACTTCTAGTCTGGAGCTTCAGGTTTGTTTCTCATGTTTCCCAATGATTAAATGATTGCTAAGCTGATATTAAAACTGATCATTAAAATGCAGACAAGGATTGAAAAGATGGCTCAGCTCCTAAGAACACTTGCTGCTCTTCCAGGGATGGGTTCCCAGAACCCATGTCAGGTGACTCACAATTGCCTATGACTCCAGCTCTAGGGCATCCTATGCCCTTTCTGAATGTGTGCACGTGTACACACACACACACACACACACACACACACAATTTAAACTACGAATGAAAGAATAAGTATTAACTGCCCAGTGATTAACTATTATAAACTTTAAGAATGTTTTTCAGATATAGATTTTTGTCTATGACAGTGGGACCAAACTATGCACATTGCACAAAATCTTATCATAGATGAGCTGTTTCTGTAACAATATCTATATCATCATTTTAATAGCTAGATAAAGCAACAGTGTTTTTCTGGTTATATTCTAGTTAACTTATCTGTTGCATGTTAGTGGATTTCTTTAAACTGTTTATACTATTCCAATATTATACAAAGGTGATTAAAAAAATCAAACTGCATATTTATTGATGAGAAATTTCTAAAAGCAAAGTGTATGTGTGTGTGTGTGTGTGTGTGTGTGTGTGTGTGTGTGTGTGTGTGTAGGCAGAGGCAGGAGG